GGGACTGTGAGCAAGGGAGGCAACAAGGGGAGCCCACGCAGGCTGGCCCCAGTTTGACTGGAGACGAGAATGGCTCCCATGACGTGGCTATTTCACCGCGGTTCCCAGCCACCCCAGCAATAACCACACCTGCAAACGGTGCGACAGGCGTCAAAGATGCAATCGGCAGGTGCGGCCCTGCCGACCCCGTAACTCAAGGAAGCGTACGGGGGGCTGGAAGGTCCTGGCAGCCCAGGATGGGGGCCCACCGGGTCCAAGGAGCTCAGTAGTTTATGGTTTCAGGCAGAAGGGGCCTTGTCAACACTCAAGGGTCTACGTGGCAAATACCATCGTCGGACGTCTAACAGGTACGTCGTGATGACGAGACAGCTCGATAAAACCAAAAACAAAACAAAAGACACCTGAGGCGCCTGGGGGGCTCAGTTGGTTGAGCTTCCGACTCTTAGGCTCAGGTGGTTGACCCCAGGGTCATTAGATCGAGCCCCGCGTCGGGCTCCACGCCGACAGTGCGGAGCCTGCTTGGGATTCTCTCTCTGCCCTTCCCCCCTGCTTGCATGCTAATAAAAATGTGAAAATACGAATTGGGAAAATGTGAAGCCCCTCTGCCCCCTCCCCCCAAATAAATCTAACACTGAGGAGTGCACCTTATTATTCACAAGCAGCCTCTCACGCCTGCCGCGCTTCCTTGTCCTCTGGGCGAGCCTGGCTCCGGCTGTGGGTTCAGCCCCCCAGGGAGGCGGTGTGGAGGCAGAGGCTCTGCCACCAGCATGTTTCTGCTTCCGACGTGTCGCTCAGTGACGGCCCCACAGCTCCTCTGCCCGATTCCCCTGGTGGACTTTAACTCACGGTGCGCGCACGATGAGCAGCCGCGAGGATGGGCCTCCTGCCGGGCAGGGATGGCATTCCAGTCGGAGCCGCGCGGGTAACAAAGGTCTGTTTGAGACGCCGTAATGGCAGAGTAACCGCTTCACCTTCAGCTGATACAAATGGCGGCTTTAATTTTCTTCACTTCGGGAACATACCACTTTCGTGTTGAGGACGTAGAAAAATTGAAAGTCCTGGACCAAAACTGAGAAGGAAACAGGTGGGCGTGAGCAGACTCGTTTCCCGGCCCGTGAGCTGTGCGCGGCCTCCGGACGACCTGACGGGGTGGGGTTGATACGGGAGCAACTGCACTCTTCCTAATTCGGTTTCTAAAAACCACCGCGAGTTTGCTCGTGTCCACATTTGCTCCAAGGGAATTTATGCAGTAATGTGAAGAATAAAAATTCATGCCTGGATCTGTCGAGAAATCTCTAATTTTGTTGGCTACTAGCGCCACTGGATGCGGGGGAATTGCTTCTAGCATTGGAGTGCGCGCGCAAGGGACTCTGACGCCTTGTGAACTTCGCCTGTGACGACACGTCAGAGCCTCGAGGCTTTGACCTTCTGGAGTGTGGCTTGCCGGCCAGCCACCGTGGCCCCCAAAGATGCCCACGTGCTAGCAGCTGGAGCCTGTGAACACGGCCACACGGCCACGAACCAGCCACCTCTAGAGGGGACGTCACGGGCCGCTGTGATCCCGAAAACCCCTACAAGCGGGAGGAGGGGGCAGGAACGGCTCCATGGCCGGCCGGGCAGACGGACGGAGGGCCCGGCCGAGGGCGCAGACAGACGGCCGGCCGCCTGGAGCTGGAGAAGGCGAGAGAACCATCCCCAGAGCCTCCAGAAGGACATGCAGCCCCTGGGGACCCGTCGGGATGTCCAGGCTGTGGGGCCGTCAGACAACACGACTCTGCACCCGTTTCCCGGGGCCGCGTCGGCAACAACAGAAACGCCTCCTCTCTCAGTCCGGGAGCGAAGAGCGAGCCCCTCGGGGGCCCGTGCACGCGTGAGTCCCGTCTCTGCCTGTCGTGGCGCAGCCCCCTCCCACGAACCCGAGCCCAGCGTCCAGCTGCACTGGGTGGGAGGCTCACCCTCCTCCACAGTGGCTTCTTCACCTGAGACCACCTGCAAAGACCCGATTTGCAAAAAGGTCACGTTCACAGGTTCTGGGTGGACCTGACTTCTGGGGGGGACACCATTCACCCGAGGCTGTAGCCACAGGTGAGCCACAGGAGCCTGGGTCTCCACCAGGACAGGTCCCAAGAGGTGGACCTACCACAAGGGTCTGGCTCTGTCATGCCCACGTGTGAGGTACATCACGCCTTTCTGCCTTAGGCTTTCGCTCAGAGTGGGGACACACAGGAGGTGCCCCCCACATACCGGGACCCCTCTGGGCAGGCTTGCACCCCACCACATGGGAGGTGCTCAAAACATTCCCACTTAACCCTTCGGGAAGGGAAGGAGGGAAGGGAGGGAAGGGAGGGAAGGGAGGAGGGAAGGGAGGGAAGGAAGAGGAGAGGGACAAAAGGGAGGGAGGGAGGAAGGACAGAACTGAGGGCCAACCTGGCCCCACAGCCCTTGCTACCAGCCCTCTCCTCTGGGTCCCTTCCAGGCAAGTGGGCACCTCGTGCACCTGCATGCCCAGTGCTCCGTGGCCGAGCTCACCGCTCTCCAGAAGGCGGCCACGTCACTAGGCAGGGGCCCGTGGCACACACAGTCTCTCCCTCCGGGAAGCACACCTCCACCTGCACCCCCCTGACCTTGGGGCTTGGGAGTGGTGGGGTCAGATCCCTTCACCAGGACACTGACAAACTCAGGCGTCAAGCCTCACCTACCCCTGGATGACTCCAAACACCGATCTCCAGCGCCCACACGGGGTCATCGGTCAGGCAGAAAGCCCTTTCAGAAGTGTCTAGGGACGTCTCCAGGCCTGTGCTCCGCAGAAGTTACTAAGGACGGAGATACTGACCTATTTTCAAGAACAAGTGCCGGGCTCAGCTTGGCCTGGGCCTGGGGGGCAGGCAGGCAGGGGGAGGCTGTTCCAGCAACGGGTCCCAGGCGCCTGTCCCCACTCAGCCCTGACCGCAGGGGTCCTGCAGGTCGAGGGGCCGATCATGCCTTCCTCACAAACCCCACACAGTCCGCGGCCGCCTCTGCTCCTTACCTGATGCGTTTTGCTGGGTCCCAAGGCCTCTGGAAAACCCACGTGGCAGAGGAGAAAAAATGGGGTCCCGCCAGGTCCCCCCCACCCCCCAAGCCTGTGACCCGGGTCCCACCTCCGTGTGGAGCCAGTTAGGACGAGGCAGACAGACGTAAACCCCCCCAGCACCACGGAGCTGGTCTTGCGGCCAATTCAGAGATTAGTAAATGCTGACTCTCCAGTTATGCGGCCTTGTGTCACGTGACTGCTTTCCTCCTTTGCCTTCTATTTTGTGCTTTCCATTTGTTATATGCTCTGTTTCAACCAGACGCTATTTATACATCATTTCCTCCCAAACTAGGCCCGGTTTCCAAAAGAGCGAGCTGATACGATGCACGTTTTTAAGCGTCTACTCACATGACGTCATTCGACTCAAAGTGCCCATAACATACTCGGCCTGTTTCAGTAACAGGGAATCACTCAGGGGCACACGGCGATTCCGGATCATGACAGGAGTCCGTTCCTCTTTAATGAGATGGGCTCGTCCCGCGCCACGTAGAACGATCCGGTAGCTCCGAGGAGCACCCACGCTGTCTCACCGAGAACCCGGGAGCCATGGCGGCTTCCTGCAGGCCCGTGTGGCGTCACATACAGAGTGGAACGCTTTCCCCGCCTACCGACAAGGGAGGTCCTGGTCAGGACGCCCCAGCGGGAGCCCCCCAGCCCCCAGAGAAACAGCCAGACGGATGGACAGCATAGGCAAGCCCGGCAGGTCCGTATGAAACCAGAACGAGGTTGTTCCCACAAGCTCGTGTGGGAAAGCTGTGTGTCATGAATCTGCCCGGGATGCCATACAGAAGGGCCTCGTCCTGTCCACCTACAATGAAGAGGAAGCCGGAGGAGCGTCCCCAAAGGGAACACGAATGTTTGCTCTCCGAGGCCGACACACAAGCTAAAGCCACGTAAGAGTCTTCAGGGTGGACAGGGTTCTATAAACTTCCCACGACAGCACACGGGTTTTGTGTATTTACTTGATTACTGCTTAGCGCCACAGGGTGAACCCAACCCGCTCATCGTCTTCCTATATTCAGCTGAAAGACTAGAAGATTCCTCCATCAGTCCGCCCAGGAACTTGGGAGACCTTCCTGGATGATGCCCGGACAGATGAGGGGGGACGGGAGGCCCCGGTCCTTCGTTTCTGCCTCCAGACGCCCAGGGCGAGAGCTCTGCAGCACGCTCAAGTCGGGGGATGGCAAGTCCCCATCGCCTGACTCGCCCTCTCCCTTTCCTCGCCAAGTCCTTATGGAGAACACGTGCTGTTGACAGCGGGGTTAGTGGCTCTCCGTGTATCCTGAAGATATACATCTCTGGTGGAAACGGTTTCTTATTTATTCATGTTTGTTTATTTTGAGAGAGAACAAGCAGTGCAAGCTGGGGAGGGGCAGAGAGGGGATCCCAAGCAGGCTGGGCGCTGTTAGCGTGGAGCCCGACGCAGGGCTCGATCTCCTGAACTGTGGGGTCATGAGGTTCGTGAGATCATGACCTGAGCTGAAGTCAGACGCTTAACCCCTAGGCGCCCCTAGTGGAAACGATTTCGAGAACAGTGGTTTTCAACCCAAACTGACAACGTCCGTCCACTGAGAAACAGTCACCTGTCTTCAACCTGCCTGAACTTCCATGAGTCAGAAAATTTTCTATCTTTCTGTAGTTTTTCTATACTTTGTATTAAAAAAAACAAAGCAAAACAAAAAGAAAAACCCACAAAACCCATGAAAACAGTGTTTTGTTTTCCCTGAATCTGCAATCTGCATATTTCTCCGAATATGCAGAGCAGGATTAGGAGACGCTATCTTGGAAGAATCAAAGAGCTGTGACGGGAACGGGTATTTTACTGTGACTTTTGTCACCTCGTGACTCAGGAGACGACAGTGTACGAATCCCCGTGGCCTCCGATGCGAGTAAGCAAAGGCCGTGCACAAACCACGCAAAGAAGTAGTTACTGGGTCCCACGTTTGAGGCGCTTTTTATAATAAGGTTATGCCAGAGATACAGCAACAAAGAAAGAGTAGTTTATTTAACAAAATTAGAACCCTCACAGCCACGTTAAACAACGACACAGACCGCCCAACGGTTCAAGCACGCTCGGGACATTTAACACTGCCGGCGGCCTTGAATCTCGAGTTCCGCTCGGAGTGAGGCTCCCCGACCGTCTTGGTGACCAGTCTTCGCCCTCGACGGCGCCCAGAATGGGATGACACATCAGGACAGACGACGCAAGGCTCTCACCCCCTCAGGGCGCCTGCTCGCCTGAGACGGGTCACATGGCCTTCAATGTTTCTCGACGCACGTTCTTTCGTGAGAAAACAATCATCAACGGTTTAAAAGTAAGTTTCTGAAGCCGCGGATAAAACACATTCGCCACGGAAGAACCCAGCACTGGCGAGCTCGGCGGCTTACGAGCGAAACCGCGGACGTGACCTTCGCACCAAGTCCTTGCGGCACCTGCCCACGTTCTTGTCTCCCGAAAAGCCCTCCCGTTCAAGGTTGAGCGGATGCTTCTCAGCACAAGGAAACAAAGCGAGAGGATGCGGTCCATGGGCAGGAGGCCACAGCGTCTGCTACCAGTGCCAGGATGCGGACCAGACACGCGGTCTTGGGCCCTGGTCGGCTCCGCCGCGGGTCCCCGTCCGCGGGGCTCCGCTTCTGCCCCCGGAGGGAAACCACGGAAAGGCACTTACCCAGCTCATCTGGGAGAAGGGAAGGGAAGAAGGGGCCGCCCCTGCACGGCGACCACGAGTCCCCAGGCCCGGCCGGCGCGGTGCACGGCCCCCCTCCGTCCTGTGGACGCGGCCTCGGGGCCGTCAGGTCCTCCTGCCGGCGGGCGCACCGATGGCCCGGGACCGCTGACGGTCGTACCTCACAGACACGACGAGGAACAGCAGGAGGGTGGCTCCCTGGATAGCAGCCAGGAGGAAGAAGTAATAGTTCAGATGGCAGCCGTTAATGTTCCCTGGGGAAGACGAGAGAGGCGTGTGAGCTGCGCTTGGGTACTTCCGAAGGTTTCATCTATCACCTTCGGTCCCGAGCAAGGTCAGGGTGATTTCCACCTGCAGCTGTTAAGAAATAAGCGGCTGAAAGTCAAAGAGCCCCGTGTCTCTGAAACTCAAGATACACAGCGCTCTGAAGCTGGCTGCATGTCTCCACCACGGGCGGGGTGGGGGGTCCCTGGCGTGACCCCTGCCCCTCAAACGTCTCCCCCCGGAAGACAAAGGAGGAGGACCAGGGGGCTGCAGCGACACGACCTGTTTCTGTCCACACCCCCAGGGGAATCCGGGCGGTGGGCCGAAGAGAAGCGTGCGACAAGGCGAGCGACGGGAGTGCCGACTGGACGCAGCAGAGAAAGTCTTTTTTTACTTCAAGTTGCTCCCGCCCCGGAAAGAGCGGGGAAGTGAACAAAGGACCCCCTGCGTCCCTGCCCACACCCCTCCCCCGACCCAAAGCAGACACGAGGCCGCACCCCGCTGCGTCCCTGCCCCCGGAAGCAGATACGTGACCACACGGTGTTGCCTTCCAGTCTTTTCCTGCAGCGCTTGCCCCTCAAGGTCCGTGGTCGTGTCCCCCGCCAACGGCTGGCCTAGCGCGGAGCCGCCGTCCTGCGGAACAGCAGGAAGGCGACTAAAGAGAGACCATCTCCATGCGGAGTCCTGCGGGTGGTGTTCCCTGCAACTTGGGTCTCGAATCTGGACGTTTCTCAACACCGCACGCAACACTAGAACGCAGCCTGGACGCCGCGGCCAGTTAGGGCTCAGGATTTACCGCATGGTTCGGTAGCTCAGGGACACTGAACTCACTCCAGAGCGTGTGTGCCCTTCACAAGCCAGAGTGCACGGTGACATACACTCTACGTACGATAGGAAGACAGAAGCGTGTCTTTAAATGTTTTCCCGCAAATGTGCAGGTCTCAGCATCCTCAAGGTGATACAGGAGCGAACTTGACCCCGTACCTAACATACCAAATGCTCAACTCGGCCCCAAGCACTAAGCGCAGCATTTCCCATGCAATATTCCCTTTAGTTCCCAATAAATCCCGAGGAGGCGGAAGAGGTTCCAGCCGCAGACCGTGGAGCTCAACCAACAAAGGTCAAATCCAAATGGCCTGACAATCTGGGCTGTTTCCTCATCTGCAGAAGGGGGCCCACAAGACCTCGCGGGCAGCGTCATCATTTGGAGGAAACGAGCAGGTAATGGCCCTGACACAGTGCCCAGCCGCCCGTCTGCCACCGTCCTGTCCTCAGTCTCCAGGTGGGTCCAGGACCATCCACCCCACGGACTGGCGGTCTCTCCACGGGAGAAGCGAGTGTTTAAAGCACCGCTGACCCAACCGCTCAGCACGGAGAAGCAGGAAGGACGCGTGGACAACATACAGCGATGTTTCTACACAAACATCCACGCACAACACGTTGCCCTGAGCTCCCTACATGGACTGACCCTGTCACCACGGCCCAAAGGCGTCCTACCCCTTCCGCCATCTGTCACCTACTGAAAACGCTCCCTGACACAACTCTCGACAGATGAGCAAACACTGTACTTGGTCCCACAGCAGCTCTGACTTCTTACGAAACAGGGGCTTTGTTCCTCTGAAGGGCTTTGTGAAGCTGGCTTATCCTGGCACATCCCTCTGTCTGAACACATACTCATCTGCACCAACGTTTCCGGAAGCCTGTATTGATAAACGCAGCTAACAATACATCGAATGCACGTTTGTACGTGTGCTCACACACTTCTAGAGAACTCTCGTGCACACAGGCTGCGGGAGACCATGATCTCGCACGTGGGCTGGTTTGGGAAGGGGTGTGGGGACAGCTGAGCTTCGGCAGGCCACCTCTCAGCAGACAGGCAGGAACAGCGCTTGAGCCCTCACGGCGGGCCAGGCTCCATTCGGGCCCTGGGAGAGAGCCGCACGCCCTTGGTGGAGCCCAGGGTCTGTGGCCACCACCGTGGTGTCAGCATTCAGCGCTGAGAGACGAGGTCGTTGCCAGGACACCGGGGACGCCACTCTGCAGGCTGATTTTGAAACGCGAATCTCCCCAAAGTGAAGAGCCATTTACAACTTCGAAGCTTAGAGCAGGCACGCCCAGGGACTATACGCTGCGTTCCCTGGCAGGTCGGCCTGTGGGGGTGACAGAGGGCATTCAGAGATGGCGTCACCCCGTAGAAGCAATCGCCCTGTGCTTTCTTGGGCCTCTTTACCGACTGCAGGACGATGCACATACAGACAAACTCTGGGAGGTTGTACTTGGGAGGACAGACGCTTGGGCCACGGAGAACTGACCTTACACATGCCCCAGACACATGTGTGAGAACCAGCATTTGACTCACGACAGCCTCCAACTGGAAACCTCGCTAGCACCCAGCAGGAGAGAACAGGTAAGGGAACTGGACAGACTCCTCCCCCGGCTACTCCTCAAATAATAAAGAACCAGCCACGGGAGGATCCACACACGAGAGCGTGGAAGGGAGCGGCCACAGCAGAGCACAGAACAATGGGGGTCCACGGTGCCGGACATCACGGCGCTCCACACCTAGCGGGGTGGGGAGTGGGCTGGCCGCAGGGAAGCCTCCCGAAATGTCCTGCATTCTGATCTGGGTGGAAAACATCTCAAACTGTGCACTTCAGACTGGTGCACCTCGCCGTATGAATCACTCTGGGCCCGATGAGGATGAAAACCCAGCACGCCCGCAGAACAGGTAGGGAAGGAAGGAGGGGGAAGGGTGGGGGCTCTCCCTTCACACCGCAGTCCTGTGACTGCAGGGGAAGCCACTTCGTGGGCCGATCATGACACACTAAGCCGGCTCTAATGCTGCTTCAGCAGCAGCCTGAACACAGAGGCTGAAGGGAAGGAGTGGAACAGCAGAGAGCCAGGAACAGCACGGACGGAGCCCGGGATTACACCTGGGCTATTAAAACCAGGTTTGATTTTGGAGGGCGGCTACCGTGTCCCATTCTCTGCCCAAATCCCCAGGTGGGAGGGAGCAGAGAGGGAGCTGCCTGGACCACCGCACAGTTCCGACATCTGCGGCCTCGCCTCGCCCCGCCTCGCCACCCAGGCTGCGGGGGCCGCAAGCACAGCTCACCAAAACTCTCCTCACTGGCGTGGCAGTAAGGAGCGGGGAGCGGCGTGGGGCCGTCCCAGGCTACACGCTCTGAAAACAACACCAACAGACAAGACCCGGTCCAAGCCTGTGCGTGTGCCATGTGCGAGGACTGGAGACGAGCCTCGCAGGGCAGGGCTGGAAGCGACCCTGTCAGAAATAAGGGGTGAACCGTAGTAAAGTCTGAGATACTCAATTAGTGACTAAATACTAAATTAGCCCAGAAGGGATCAAATCTCTGGGAAGCAATGAGATTGACCAAAACCAATCAATCCTTCAGGATATGCTGAAAACTAAGAGAAAGACATAGAATCCACATTGAGGAATCACAGAGACCTGGTCTCTGCAGCAGGGCTCTCTCTGAAGGAGGGCTGTCCTGCGTGCACAAGAACAGATCACGGTCACCAGGACCCATGAGATTTCTCGGATGCCGTGTGCACCTGCTGTCCCTCCAGGGGCCCCGCGTGCAGAAACCAAGTCCTAGACCTGCCCGCTCTCTTCAGGACGACCAGGTCTGTGCCTGCCATGGAGACGCTCCAGCAGCTGGAATGCACTGCAGCCCACACCCCAGGGCCCACACTGACGGCCTAGGTTTCTGGACGTCACATTGGGACTCCACAGGCCTACACTCACCCCTTAGGATGGGAATTTAACTCAGCGCAGGGCTTTTGGAATTCTGTAATTTCTGGAAAAGTCCCCACGCTTTCCTCAGAGTTTTAAGGGGATTTAAGACCTGAAGGTGGCTAAGAGTGCTGACCTGAGTTAATGCTGCAAGATTACATAAGAATGTAATGAAGTAATAAAGTTGTTTTCAGAGGCAAAACGGTAACATAAAAAGAAAGAAACTTCCTTCATCTCCTGTGTCCATTTAAAAGCCACCATAAATCTGGAAACAGCAAAACTCTGGTCTTTTCTGAGTGATTCTGTTTAGCACCCAAGATGCCACCTACTGGTGTGAGCTGTAAAATCCCATTGTGACAGGTCACAAGGAAAGAAAAACAACTATTTACCTACCTGTTTGTTTAATATCAGAAAATGTAAAGCTACTGTCAGGAAAAGAAAGGAAAATACAAACCAAGATTCAATAAAGGGAATTATGTGCTAGAGTGTTTATCTGCCTCACGAAGACTATGGTCCACAAGGGGGTCCAAGACGTCTCTGGAAGGCAGCAGCCCCAGAGACTGGCCCCTGGGGCAGATAGAGGCTCACAGGGGCCTCAGGAAACTGGTCAGGATGAAGGAGATCAGGTGTTTGGCGGGGGGGGGGGGGGCTCACGCCAATCCAGGAACTGCACACGGCCGCCCCCCCGGGCAGCCCACCTCCCCTAACGTGACCTTGGCACTCAGACACCTGGCCTGCCGTCGCATAAGCACCGGGTTCTGCCAGTGGCCGTTTTCAAACCGCCGGCGGGGCCCTCACCGAAGTCTGTGTGGTTGCTCATCCAGCCGATGGCTTTGATGGACACCAGCTCCAACAGTCCAGAGCCCACGAACGAGCCGACGCCAGAGAAGAAGAAGAAGAAGCCCATGATGGCGCTCTGCATGGACTTGGGGGCCGCCGAGTAGGCAAACTCTAGACCTGTAAAAACAAGGGGGTTGCTTCTGTGAGAGGCGCGGGCTGATGGTGCCCTGCCTCAAACGGCAGGGTGAGCACGGGCCCCACGTGGGGACTCAGCTCCCTGCCCTACTCTGAGGACCGTAGTTAACACAAGGTCAAGAGGTCAGGGGCCCCTTCTCTTCACCATGACAGTCCTTCCAGTCACGGGGCAAAATGTCAAGTCCTTGCTTTCAAACTGAAGGTAACCTCTGACTTCTCAGTGCTTGGATTTCGGGATGGATCCGTATGGAAAGAAAGAGGTTAAAGAATCAAACTTCTATATTTTCAACCGAGAGGGGTCTGAAAACAACGTATGTACACTAAAATGGGATTCTGTGTTAAGACTTCTATCTTAACGGCAATATATCTTAAAATAATTTCAACAGAGACATCTATGAGTTCCGGTTTTTATAATAACTAGATGTGGAGATGTGCAGTGTAGACAACGGTTTGATTTATATCTTTCACAGATCGTGAGCCAATTCTGCGGGAGTCGCTGAGAGGTGAGGAGGGGGAACCACCGCCCACATCCCCCCACAACACATCCAGCTCTATCGATAATTTTCTCGCCCTCCCCCTCCCTCCCAGAAGCCGGACACAGGCCTGCACACAACACACTCGTCCACACCCCGCAGAACCTCACTCCCAGGACAAGAGAGGCTCGTGCAGACACGTTTAGCAATCAGGTTTGCCTCCTTCACGAAGCTGACCCAGCACACCCAGACACCCAGAGCTCTGGCAGCGGCCCAGGGTGGGGGCCTGGGGGCCGCAGGGTAACCGCAGAGCTGTGCTCAGGAAGTGCCCAACCCGGGACTTCCTCCTTCCCCACAGCAGGGGACAAATGCATGGGAATGTCTTTGGGAAGCCTGGTTTTATACCCAGGAAGGAAGGAGAACCTCACTTCTACAGGATTACCGTACTTACCAACTCACATTCTGAACCATAGCTGTTGCCAGGAGATACAGAGGCAATCTGCTGTCCCTGTGTCACCCCCCCAACACAGGGACACGCCCTCCTGCCTTCAAACCAGACCCCAACCCCGACCTCAGAGAAGCCTCACCTGCTATACTTGCAAAGATCTCACTGACGCCAATCAGCACGTACTGTGGGACCTGCCACCATATGGGCAGGTCGGCAGCGTAATACACGACTCTTCCGATGGTCTGGTTAATGGTTTTCTCTTTAACAAGGTCCAGCCTTTTGCTTTCCAAAATTCCTGGAATTAAGTAGGAAATAAGTAGGTTAATAGAACCTCTGTTCGTTAACATTTGCAATTAAACTAAAAAACTACAGGTCTGTTACGATTATTGATTGTTTTGAAAATCACATGAAGGAACAAGGCCCAGGGACACAGCTTTCCCCGGAGGTCCCCAATCTAGAGAACCTCCCGGCTCCCAGCTTCCTAGTTACTCAAACACTGATCGAACCATACGCGACTCATGTGGGCTTTTCAGTGCCTCACACAGGAGACTCAACACGTGGGGTTTAATCCTCAAACGTCCAGATGGCTCACCTGTACCCCTTCTGTTTCTAACAGGAGGAGCCAGGCCACGCTAAATAGCGCTGTGACAGAGTAAGAATACGTCCGCTTCTCAGAAGGCAGTGAGGCTGGAGACGTTTCCTCGTCCTGGTACCCGACTCGGGCTGCCGTGCTGACTTATCATCATTACTCTTGCAACCTGCTACTGACAGTGACGCCAGGTTCCTTGTGACCCCAGCGAGCAGACCGCCTTCAGCGGCCCTGTGACCCCGCTCAGCTACTGGTCTTTCGTCAAGTGCAACAAAGAGACACTGGAAAACAAGCAGGAGTACAGACAGCCACTCCCTGTAACACGCATGCGCGCACACACACACACACACACACACACACACACACACACGGAGTGAGGCTTACAAAGACCAGCCGTAGCACCAAGTTCTTAGGTGGAAGAGGCCACCACTTTTGTTTCTAAAGAACTCTGTGAATAAAATCATGGACCCTAGGCTTTGAAAAGCATGCCAACGCGTACGTATTTAAACCCAGAGAGTGGAGAGGGTCCAGGCTACCAGTGAGGGGGTGGAAGACACATTCTGGAAGCTGTCCCCAAGCTATGTGTCCAGTGAAAGGTCCAGAGAGAGAACGTATGGAAGGAGCAAGGGAAGGGGACGCCTCTGGCTCACTGCCATCAGAGACACCTGCGTCCCTTCCCTGGCCGCGTGTCCAGGGGACCCCAGCCCCCACACCACGTCCTCTCACGGGACATGCAGGTGCGGAGCCGTCTGGCTAGTGCTCCCGCCTGCTGGGGACAGGGCGTCTGAGGCGTGAGGTGCCTTATCCACAAGTGACAGCTGTCCTACAGCAGGGCTGTGGACAGCAGTGTTAGCCCGGCTGGAGCATCTTCCAACCACGGGACAGAGTGTGACCCGCTTCCTGTGGGTCGGCCGAGGCTCCCCTCAGACTGCCAGGTCACGGCACCGGCCACCAGCGTGCAGCTGGGTCTGTAGGGAAGGACCCTTCCAACCAGTCCTGGGGGTGAAAACTGAAGCGGGAAAAAACTCTCTTCTTCACAGGGAAGGCCGCACAGTTAAGGGGACGTGTGTGCGTGAGTGTCTGGGGGCAGGGACACCAGCAGGGATATCAGAGGAGAGATGTGACGCGCCGTGGGACAAGACCTCTGTGGTCTCAGCAAGACAACACGGACAAGACACAGACTGCGGGAGAGGAGGCCGGGACAAGGGGCAGTGGCCAGGGGGACCCAGGTGACAGGCCCGGGAGGGGACATGAGAAAACAGATGAGGGTGCTCCTGTGGGGGCCGTGGGGCCAACCCCACAGCAGACAAGAGGACGCTGCCAGTGGAGGCTGGGGGGCTCCACCGACGACAGAGGCCTGGGCACAGGCCGTCATCAGTGTTCACAGTGGGAAATAATGAGGAAGCACAGACATGACGGGAAGGAACGTGCTGGAACAGCCAGCGTGGCAAACTCTTCAGTGAAGGACCTGACTCTGCGCAGGTCCAGACGAGCACCCGTGGCGGGGGCCGGATGAGGGCCACTGCCCAGGGTGAGGGGAAGGACCAGCCACGACACAGCCGGCAGGCAGGAGTGAGGGGAGAGGGGACGCCCAACAACACGGCAGAAGAAAGATTTGGGAAACACACACCTGGAGTAACAAATGGGCGCCATTTAAGGCATGTTCCTTGAGCCAATGGGCAGCCCTGTGCTCATGGCTTCACAGACACAATGGCATCTGTGATTCACAGAACTGGACGGAATCCCCTCCGAGCTCTTTAACCACGAGCAGCGCTAAGTCTGGTGCCCCCCCCCCCGCCCCCCGTGCCCAGGTCTCAGGGGCCCCGCGTGCTCTGCCTCGCTACCAAAGGACCATCCTCCCTTGGTGACGCAGTCAACCCCTGGAGAAGAGCGAGAACAGCATCATCAGCTCGAAACACAGGGACGACCAGACACACACCCCTCCCAGCCCTTGACACAACAAGTAGACAAAAAGTAAGGCTTCGTGTGGGGCAAGGGCTGCAATCTGGAGACCCGCAGGCAAGGCCTGGGTACCATCGACATGACACACAGCTCAGGACTCACTGAACGGAGGGGACACAAAGGTCAGTGCTCGGGCGGCAGTGCGGGAGGCCCACACAGAGTCTCAGGGAGGGTCTGGGCAGGATGCACAGACTACCGCATTCCTGGACCGTGCGCTCATCCGTGCGGCCCCAGGCCCCTTGAAGGCACTGAGTTTAGGGCCCCTGCTCTAAAGCATCTGATGAACACAGCTGATGGCACAGCAGAGGAACCATCGTATTCAGCACCCTACAGACGTCTTAGAAATGCTACCAGGCCAGAGAGGAGGGCCCGAAGTCCCCAGTGTGGGAGTCATAAAGCCATGATCTCTCCCAAATCCACAATAAAAGTAGGCATCCTTAACCTATGGTTAAACATCAATACCATGGGAACAATTCTCTGAAATTACTCTTGGGTCATACAGGAAATACAATCCCATTTCCACACCCTTAGAAAACAACAGACATTACAACAAATCCAAGCACAGGAAACCTGACAAAGCAGCAGCAACAGGCAAATTCATACCATTCCACGGTTTTCACTGTTAAACAGGAAAGAGTGAGTGAAAGTAAGTGAAGGATCTAACGCACAAGAGAGAGAAACAGAACAAACCCGAGGTAATAGAAATGCGTCCCTTAATTGTTCTCTGTTATTAGAAAACACGGAGAAAGCGAAATTGATAAATTCAAGAGATGTGTCTACGGAACAATATAAAACACATACAGTTCTGGCCAACCTAATTTGAAGAAGAAAGAGCACAGAATACACGAAACTGTAAATGAGGAAGGAGGCCCAGCAGGCTTATTTAGAAGACTATATTTATCTCCAGCCTAGAACTCAGTAAAACGAACGGCTTACTCGGGACATTAGAGAAAAAAAAAGCTTAAGGGATTGTGGAGAAAACACAATCTGCACAAAACTGAGAAGAGGTGAAAAAGTCACCCCACGTCTCCTCAGAGTGAGGGGCTCACAGGATTCTCCAGGCAAAGACCTGGACTCCCAGGGAGGAGACAATCACCGTCCCCTGTGGAAATATTGTCCTGCGCACAGGGCCTAGGGGTGCTTCCGGGAGGCCAGGCAAGGTCAACCGTGGTGGGGGCGAGCGGGCGTCAACAGGACAGCAGACTCCAAGCAGTCAAGGCCAGCACCCTCCCACCCTCTCAACACACAGGTGTTTCAGAAATGCAGGAACGAACATCAGGAAGTTAACAGCAATAAAAAACCCCACCCTCCCCCCCCCCCCCCCCCCCGGCACACACGTAACCCTCTTGGAAACCAAAACATGGTAGGAAAAGTCAACATTCGTTTCTGCCAACGATACTCAGTAAACGTGAAACACAGCTTACAAATTTGGCATCATCGTGAGTGTGTATCTCACACTCAAGTTCTAAGCTTCCCGCTGAGCCGCCCAGCGGATGCCCCCTACCAGCCTGGCAGGAAGCCCAGCCAACACCGCCCAACAGACACAGGAAGGGAGGGTCACCGCGAAGGCAGGAGAAGAAACCATGTGATCTGAAGGCAACAAGAGACCATTTGAGAAGAATTCACTGAAACTCAGGATTTAAAAAACCTCCGTGTGAGCAAGCGGAAATACCTCGTGCAGCGAGGAACAAGCCTAACACGACCTAAAGTGAAGACGTGTTTAAAACTGCAAGACTCTGGGGTGCCTGGGGGGCTCAGCCGGTCGAGTGTCCGACTTTTCGCCGGTCGTGATCTCGCGGTTCGTGAGTTCGGGCCCCGCGTCGGGCTCCGCGCTCACAGCTGGGAGCCTGGAGCCTGCTTCGGATTCTGGGTCTCCCTCTCTCTCTGCTCCTCGAGGCCCTGCTTGCTCTCTGTCTCTGTCTCTCCCAAAAAAAATAATAATAAAAAAAAGAAACCTGGAAGATACCATAAATAAAGTCAACGGAAAATGATTCAACTGGAAAGAATATGCCTAAGATGAAAGTCTGGATTTCCACATCAGGATGAACAGGAAGAGCCCAGTAGAAAACGCCACAGAGCATACACGGTACACAAATATCGGGGCGGGTTATTTGGGGGAAAATCACCACCACCGCCACCATACGCACTGAAGTGAAGACATAGCGTGTTTAAGCCCTTCAGGTAAGAGACTTACAGAAAAGGTGCTCAGTACGGACAGGGGTGCTGATGGAACGGGGCGGGCAGCGAGCCACGAGCGGGCACGTGGACGGACAGGCGTGTGCAGCAAGAGAGGCTGGCTTAAAAAACGACAGGACATTCAACAACGGAATATCATGTAGTTGTTAAAAACCATAACTTAAGTGTGTAGCCGCCACAGAAAAACGGTATGCGTAAACAAGGAGAGTAGATTATAAATGTGGCTGGTTCGTTTCGTTTCTATTTATTAAAAAAACAAAAAAACAAAAAAAACAAAAAACAACAATTTACCTGTAACAGAAAAAGTTCTAGGAAGACATGACGTGGTGGTCACCGGATGGTGAGGTTCTGGACCCACTGAGGTCGCCCCTGCTTCCTCTGTGTGTCTGTAATGACCACGGATTGACTAGGTGACACTAATTTCTAAAGACCCACTGTGGACCAGGGGTTCTTTGCAGCCCAAGAAAGGCTCTCTCTCAGCTGGTTCTGCCGCCATTTCAGGATGCTCTCGGGCCCCGAAGTCTGCGCAAGGACCCCTGCCCACACCCGCGGGACAGAGTCCCACGACACAGTCACGAGGGACAGAGGGGCCGGCAGGCGGATGGAGGGCACCACCAGCCCGGGACAATGGCAGAGCCACTCACCACCTTCCCGGAAGAGAATTCTGTCGGGTTATCAGAAGCCTTCAAAGGGTGCCATGATTACGCTTCTAAGTATTTGGAAAGGAAAGAAATCCCACCGTAGCGGTGACCATGGCAGTGAAAACAAGAGCCCTGACACCCAACACTGGAGAACTGTACGTGAGCGTCGGACACGGGAGGATCTTCATGATACTTCAGGGCTTTGTAAAGCGCGTGACAAAGGGAACGAAACACGCCTACCACACAGCACACAGATAATTTTGCCCAGGCACCTGCAAAGTGGTAACTGCAGATTTCCTTAGACGGTGGAATGATGTGTCCTTAAATGTGTGTGTGTGTGTGTGTGTGTGTGTGTGTGTGTGTGTGTGCGCGCGCGCGCGCGCAATGGCTCATCTGTATTTTGGGGGTTTTCTCCTTACATGTAACATGTATAGCTTTTATTATGCTCTGTGGTTTTTCTGACGCTTCTATTTCCTCATCAGGCTCAAATCAGCTTGCACAACAGGATTTCATGTTTGCAAAAACACGAAGGAGGTGCATGTGTACAGACACACAAAGGAGATCAGGCCAGTTCACACCATCCCAGGAGAGAGGCTCTCTAGGGAAATTACAGCTGATTTTTATTTTCTTCTCTATGCTTCCAAGATTTCCTCTCCTCCCGTGAGCACGTATCGCTTCAGTAATTTAAGAACACACACACAATTTTTAAGAAGAAAAGGAAATCTAACCAACGAACACACTTCCTTTTTTCTTATGCACACTTGAGAAAACCCCTCAGGCCTGCCTGATTCTTCTCATCTCAGGGACGCTAAAGAAAACGCTATTACCAGCAGGCATGGTACTAAATGGAAGCTATTGATTGGTTACGGGAGAAGGTAGTAAGTTCAAAGGCAAAACAGTTTCCTTTCGATTGAAATTTTGGTTTGCTATGATAGTTTCAGGTCTCTACTCAAAACGTATTAATGTTCCAATTAAGTAATACTCGCCAGAGCTGGCAGTGACGCTGTGTGAAGCTCGGGCCCCTGTTTACGATGCAGTTAATAAACTGCTGGACTCAAGCACGAGACACTTAAAACCTCTGAACCAGTGACATCGAGGCCCCTCCCCAACATCCGGCCACCAGGCAAAGAAAGCCTTTTCAAGCCTATTAAGAACAAGCATAGCACGTGTGTTCCATTTCTGAGAAATCAATTCCTACGCGGAGTCTCAGGGCCGTTTGGCCACACGAGCGCCCCGCAGGGCGCGAGCAGCCACTCAGGGCATGGCCCGTCCGCCCCACTGGCGCTGGTGACGGGCGGAACCGCCAGGCCGACCCGGCACTCTCAGCGTGACGTCACCGTCGGCCTGCTGCCTCCCACACGGACACGTACAGAGACCACCGGAATGCCCTCCCCGGTTCTCAGGGTGCCCCCCAGAAGCTGTCCAGCCGGAAATCAGACCAAAGCATAAGACGGTATTAAAGGAGCCCGAATTTAGAATCTGCTAGGAAATGCCTGAAAACCGAGGACACTGCCCTGCCCAGAGGGACAGGACAAGCTGCCTTCCCCAGCACGTGACCAGTGTGGCCATGGTACAGAGAGGGCTCCCCGATGCAGGGACAGAGGGCAGCTGCCCAGGCCAAAGCTGAGCCCACAGCAGGTGCTCAGGGGAGGCGGGACACACAGACACCAACTCCAGGCGGCTCTGTTACTCCAGACGGCCCCGATGATCTCTGATCCTGCTCAATGAGACCTGCAATTAGAGCCCCGCTGTAATTTAGTTTTTATTTGCTTTTGCTTATTTCCCTATGTGCCCCAGGACTGGAAGGGAAACAGAATTATAAAGAAAGCACACAGTAAAAACTTCATTCAGACACAACCTCACTTTAATTATCTATTTGATCAAGAGAAAACGTAATTGTCTTCTAAAATGTCCTGGTCGCTGGAATATAGATCTCTTAAGTCTAGGGACTCATTTCTTTAAATCTATTAAGTACTATATCAATATGTTCACTCTGGGGACAGTGCAGGGAGGCTGCTAGAAAACACTGCCGAAGAATATTAAATTCTGTCTGGGCAGGGCTTCACGTTAAATTCCTCACAACACTGTGTGATATATAGTTGGTTCAAGAACATCAGCTTTTCTGTTCTCGTTATGTAACTACGCTATCTTACGATTCCATAATTTTCAAATATTGATGAAGGAAGAACTCCAGAGCAAGTTGAGGAAGTCAGTGACACCTCAGTTTCATCAGCAGAAGACATTCCAATCTACGGTTCAGAAGAGAAGAATCACGAAAACACGAGGGAGGCCCCAACGGAAAACTCCCCCCTCAGGGCTGGGATACTTGAGGCATCAGCTCTCAACCGTTTCTTTCTAGGGGGTGCAGGCTGGTCACGAACCTGTGTTTGATAACACCTTTCTTGTCACGAAATGCACAATTTTACATAAAAACGCAAAGGGTCTGGGGCAGACTGAAGCCGACTAGTGGACCTAACGTTAAGAACTAAGGGTTGAGAATCCCCATCTTTGAGAATTACATCAACATTCATCCATTCGGCAATCGACAGTTGTCCAAAATCTCAATCAGCAGGAAGACAACAAGCCTCCTTTGATCCAAGCCAAAAGTCACCTTCCAGAGTACGTGGTTTTGGCTCTAGAAGGAAAATGGCAGAGCCGCGGGAAGAACATCTTACACGTCACATAACGGAAACTAGAAAACAACCACCACCCACGTTCACAACGTTCTGTTTTCTGGTGCACACGCGGCAGGACCGGGGGCCGGCCACAGTGCTTGGAGTCACCCACGGCTGCCGAAGCCGGTTTCGGGCTCTCCGAACGAGACACAGACGCCATCTCACCTGCAGCGAAAGCAGAGCACATCACAAAGAACATTCCAACGGCAATCCTTTTTAGGGATGATGGGAGTAGGCCATTTCTTCGCAGAATGGGATCAACCAGTTTATCCTTCAAGGGAATTAACAGCAGGATGAGAACCGCGTCGAACATGGTCAGCCAGGCCGCCGGGAACTGGAAACACACAGACAGGGTTAGTTCTTGGGAGGAACACGCAACCATATAACTAATGTCCAACGGGGACAACTGTCTTTCCAGAACAATCCACTCCTACCAAGTGGAACTGCCTAAGGAAAAAGTCCAGGTTCAAGACACTAGAACTGAAAAAGACCTCTTTCTAAATGCCTCTGCGTCTGCACTTCTGTGCTTTAAGGGGGGCAAGTGCGGTGAGGATGCTGGTTTAGTGACGCGAGTCAACAATCGGTAAGCGACTCAGCTGACCAAGACCCGTCTCTAAAATGAGCAGAAGCCGCTTCCAGCAAGAATGCTCCTGGTTCCCGCAAGGGCCTGCAGGAGGACCCCGTGTGTCACACAAGCTCCAGGGAGACAATTTCCACATTGCCCCCGTTGTTCTCACCGTGTGAGGAGTGGCCGTGAGGCTGGAAATTGCCGGAATCTTCAGGTGAAGACTCTGCAGAACATACGTTGTCTGCATCTGGGTGAGAAAGCAGTACGGTTGGTGTGCGAAGGCTCGAGCACGCGCCCGCCCCCACCCCGCTCTGGGAGCAGACGCGCAACGCTCAGTTTGCAAACAGCCCGGTTATTTGGTCCCCACACGCGTCGTCTGCAGAGAACTTCGAGAAAGAAGGAACAGAGAAATGAGACTCAAAGGGGGGCCTGGAAAACAAGGAGCGCAGCCGCTCCTGGCTCCTCTTGTCGAAGGGTTTTCACGACCCTGAACTAGGCGGAAGGGACTCCGGCACCAACAGCGGGACGCCAAGACCCCGGAGACTCGCAGGAGGGCCACCGAGGCACCCGGGAGCTTCAGGGACGGGCCGGGGGAGGGGGGGGCCCTGGCGGCACTCACTTGGAAGTACACGGTCCAGTAGGGTATCAAAGCCAAGAAGACGGGGACGATCTTCACAAGGGCCTTCACGTCGTCCACCGTGTCTTCCGTAAACGGCCCTCCGCGAGACCTCTTACATGAATCAAACAGACTGTGTTTAGAAGGGTGCTGAAGGGCTCCAACGCCTTCACTTTGGGAGACAAAATGAAGGAGTTAGTTTTCTTCCACCCCCGGAAATGGGCTGTCTGGCAACAATTTCAGTCTGGAGGCAGGGAGGCAGCCGGCTGCACTGATGTGCCTTCCTTCAGCCCCTCGCTTACTGACTCACGCCGGACGCGGTTCCTACACCAGCGGCCGCACCGCACGGGGGCGGCCGCGGCGGGCGCCGGGTCTCGTCTGGCCTCCAGCTCCGCTCACCCACACCAAGGAGGGCCCACGGCTCCCTCTGCTCCGGCTGCCACCCCAGCTACGTCGCTGCACCAGCGTTTAGGCAAAAAAGCTGTGCGGGACGGTGTGGATTCCGAATCGCGCTGCTTTTCAAACGCGAAGACCTTGCGACCGTAATACTGAGGTTGTTAACAAAGCCGTTTACTTAACCACGGCCACCGATGCGGCAGTGAGGAAGGGATCTGTTCGGGGGGGGGGGGGGGGGGGGGGGGGGGGCGTGACAGTAACACGAGGAGGTCACCTGGCAGCAGGGGGCACTGAGCACCTGCCCGATAACCTTGACCACGAGCCACGACCGCCAAGACGCTCCTGCTGGCCCCACTGCAGAGGAGGCAGCCGGGCCGGAAGGGTAAGGACCCCCTGCTGCAGTGACAAAGCCAGGGGCCAGGACGCCGCCCGTCCACTCTCTGGCCACAGGCATCACCCTCACGCTCAGGCCTTTGGGTCCTGGCTTGGGCACTAGCAACAGAGCTCGCCCGCTTACTCTAGGCCACTGTCACTAGTTAGAAGATGGGCAGGTCCCAGCGGGCAGCTCTCAAACTCTCCAGCGGATACGGATGCTCCTAGGTCCTTAGGGGTGAAACAGAAAAATTTGTTTTGTGGACCAACTACTTTCTAAAGCCAGAAACACTAGGACATAATTAATTATCTTCCAATTCTGCAACTCGGATATAAACGGCTTTCTAGTTGTCTGCTTTGTAGCTTAAACTATCCAACTTAAGTTACCACTATTTTAAATCATTTTTGTCTTGGGGCGCCTGGGTGGTGCAGTCGGTTAAGCGTCCGACTTCAGCCAGGTCACGATCTCGCGGTCCGTGAGTTCGAGCCCCGCATCAGGCTCTGGGCTGATGGTTCAGAGCCTGGAGCCTGTTTCACATTCTGTGTCTCCCTCTCTCTCTGCCCCTCCCCCGTTCATGCTCTGTCTCTCTCTGTCCCAAAAATAAATAAACGTTGAAAAAAAAAAATTAAAAAAAAAAAATCATTTTTGTCTCATGATTGTTTTTTTATAACACTGACATTTCTTAACCTGAACGTTCGAGGGGGGGCAAAAAACTGAAAACTAACTTAATATTTTAGCTACGTCTTGGACAGGAAAGGTAGGTTCCGTTCAACAAACATTTACTGAGTGTCTGCATGTCTGGGTCCATTCTAGCTGGGAGCCAGGGTCACAGAGATGGCACCCGAGCCGCACGCAGCTTATCTAGTAGGGAAAAGAATCAGGAAAACCATGCTCAGGGAGAAATGCTAAATTTCCAAGATAGTATCAGACTCTCTTTTGAAAATATTCACTAAGCTTCTCCAATTTGATTTTTTTGGCCAGAAGATGTCCAGTCCTAGGTACGTATTACAGACACGGTCGGTGATTTACCACATCATCTACCCATGTGTTTCTCTAAAATCCTGTCAATGTCGAAGGACAAACCCATTTTTATACATCGAATCATTCCCATGTTACTGGTCACACAACTTGCATTACCAACTGTTCTGAATACCGCTAAGTCAAATGCACCTAACGCTTTCCCTAACTCACACATGTTGTTAGCGTGTTATTGTGCAACACACAAGGGTCCGACAGGAAGCCACAGACACGAATGCCCTGGAACACAGACAGAACCCAGAAAGGGCCCCAGCGTCACGAGGCCGGTGCTCCCCCAGAACCGTCTGCAGAGGCTGCTGTGTGTGCGCAGGTGCGTTCTCCCAGGAAGAGGGTCTACTGACTCTCAGATTCTCAACCCAAGGTGTGCGTCTCAGAAAAGGATTAGAACTATCCCCACTCAGCCTGACGAGCGCATACACATCGATTTTCTCACGTGAAATCGACATGGAGTCATCTCCAAAACACAGACCAGCCCAGACCAAAAAGAACCTGGAGCCACCAGAGCAGATCAGCACCTCGGCAAAACCCCAGGTGAGGCTGCTCATCCCCCTCCCGGCCACGCAGTTCACGGTAACCGGGCTCTCAGCACGGGCCGGGCCACGCTAACAGCCATGCACACGCCAGCTTCTCAGGCTCCACGATGACCCTGCAAGATGAGCCCCTGTCCCCTGTACGAAGAGGGAATGCGGGCGTGGCAAGGTCATTAGCCTGCCCAAGGTCACAGAGCCCGGACCTGTGCGTCAGGAGAACATAACTTGAGAACTGTCGGGTCCACCAGCTTCTCTGCCAGACAGTCCTTTCGACCTTAACTGTGCCAGTCGCCCAAAACCGAACCCACAGGGAAATCAGATTCTGAAGTAAGAGTCCAGACCTTTTTCATCATGCCATTTGTGCAGGACACCCCAGAACGTCCAGGAGGCCGTGACGTCCTCCTGCAGGAATGTCTACCAGGTACCACATGCACCGACACCCCAAGCCTTCAAGAGGATGGGTCTGCTCACAAGTACTCAACCCAAGGACCGAACGTGTGGGATGAGAGCCCCTGCTTGCGCCTGATGAAGGCAAGGCCGAGGCACAGCACCAGGAAGACGGCACTGCCACCATCTGCAGTCAGGAATTAGGGGTCTGGGCGCTGCACGGACCCGTCAGAATCCCAGGACGGGCGGGGAGAGCTGAGGGGCCACGGCAGCCCCGGGCGGAGGAGCAGGGCCACGAGAGCTATTTTGGAACAGCTTCAAACCCACCGCATGCGACGAAATACCACACGTTCGTATGGCTCAGGGCACCAGCCACGAGAAGGTGGGTGTGGGGGTTGGCGCACGGAACCTTCCAGAGTTCAGTGCCACCCAGCAAGGAATGTGCTGCACAAAGCCCTGTGTGGCTGAGGGGTCGGCCTCTGGCTCAGGGACCGCCCGCCCACCCATCAGGAGTGCCTATCAGAACTCTCCTTGAGGGGGTCCACTACCCAGGGTCCCGGAGACTTTTAGGGATGACAAATATTCTAGATCCTATGTCAAATGAGGCCGTCCTAACTCCAGAACCACCCAGTATGAGGGGTGCACTGTACTACGGGTAGATCACGCTTCAATAATAAACCCCGAAACTGCTGAGCTCTCTTCTTGGGCTAAGTTCCGGACTTTTCTGTATTAATATGCATCGAGGGTGACCTACCATCTGTCCCAGCTTGCCCGGGACTTCCCCAGGACGTGGGACTTCCACCGCTAAAATTGGGAAGTCCCAATTTCCCAATGGGGGACAATGCAGTTCCCCCACTGCCTCTCAAAATTCTGCTCTTGTGTCGTCCTGTCCCAGAGCGGCCGCAGGGACCAGTGGATGACGGGGCCCACACTGACCCACTCGGCAGCCGATTCAGAAGACAGACACAACGGCTTACTGTTTAGGAAGTACAATACAAGTTAGCGATCGCTGGATGTTTCATTCAAATGAATTTCAAAGCTTTTTAAAGCCAAAAGGGAAACACAGGGAGTATGTATAACGTCTTTTCTCTACTCTCTGCCAATGTCTATCTCTGTCACTTTTACAGAAGTAAGAGGTCCATCCGAACCAGTGGTGACAGGAAACTCAGGGTGGAAGTTAAACACTAAAAGCATGAGTCCCGGAATCAGGCTGCCGGTCTGCCTGGAAGATGGAGATGGCAGGGGCGCCTGGGTGGCTCAGTCCGTGAAGCGTCCGACTTAGGCTCAGGTCATGATCTCGCGGTCCGGGAGTTCGAGGCCCGCGTCGGGCTCTGTGCTGACAGCTCGGAGCCTGGAGCCTGCTTTGGATTCTGTGTCTCCCTCTCTCTCTGCCCCTCCCCTGCTTGTACGCTGTCTCTGACTCTCAGAAATGAATAAACGTTACAAAAATAAAAATAAGAGAATAAACATTAAAAAAAATGGAGACGGCAGCGCCTTACAACGTCCTCGCGTGCGCGTGAGACACTGAAGCCGCCAGCCCAGAGCCCTGCACACGGTAATGTGCGTCAGACACAAACCAGTATTGTATCCACAGCGCTGGGAGCATCGTGTCTCAGCCGGCACTCACCCACTGTGACCGTGCTCTCCGATCCGCTTCTGGGGACGGCACAAATACACCAGTATCCTGAACACATGCGTGAAGGCACTGCCATCGGGCGGCTTGGTGATGAAGACGCTCTGGCCACAGAGGAAGACCAGGAAAGCCACCCCGATGCAGACCGCTGGGATGAGGTAGCCGGTCACGAAGCCCACGTTCTGCTGAATGTAGGCAATGCCTCCCAGCGAAATGATTGCTCCCAGATTAATGCTCCAATAAAACCAATTAAAAAATCTTCTTGTGGCTTCTGGACCTCGGTCTTTAACCTAAAACAACGGGGAGGAAACACTTTAAAACGTGATCATCCTCAAGGAAGAGAAACCTGTGTAAGTGACTACGGTCACCGTCACTGTGGCAGCTTATAAGAAACGCAGCCCCACCAAACGGTGCCTACAGATACATTCGGGGCGCCTGACAAAGGAGCACCCCATAACTTTAATTACTGCACTTTCTGAGGGTGCTTCTCTTAATCATGCTGAAATCCAAGAAATCCAAGAGAGTTTCTCAAAGTACTGGCTGGGACCACCTGCTCTGGAAACACTGGAATGCTCCCTACAAGTGCCCATTCACAAGACTCACATTCCAGACCCGCCCAGTCACCATCTCGGGGGTTGGGGCCCAGGAATCGGCATTTTAAACATTTTTTCAGGAGACTTGTATTCACAGGTAAGTTTTAGAACCACCGTTGTACAACTCCACACCTTGGTAAATCCGGGGCAAAAAAGGAAATCCCAGACTGAACCTAAAACTACATGCTGTTTTCAGATTAGGAAGGCAATCCAGGGAATCGGGAGATTCTGATAAGGGAGAGACTCCTGGCGGGCTCACGAACCCCTCATCTCCTGAACTCGGACATGAGCCCCGGGTCACACTCTGAGAAGACCATATAATGGGCCCCACAGTGCTGCTGACGTTCCACATGGGGACAGGCCCCTCACACCTTCCCACCTTACCTTGATTTCCACATCCACACGGACACCTTGTCTACACCAGCCAGTGATCTCACACGGTTTTTATTACCTTTCCTAAATATTTGTTAACGTTAATTCATTTTTGAGAGACCAAGAAAGACAGAGTGCAAGCAGGAGTGGGTCAGAGAGAGAGGGAGACACAGAATCCGAAGCAGGCTCCAGGCTCCCACCTGTCAGCACAGAGCCCAACACAGGGCCTGAACTCACAAGCCGTGAGATTATGACCTGAGCCAAAGTCAGACGCTTAACCGACTGAGCCACCCAGGCACCCCATCTCACACAATTTTTAAGTAAGCTTCCTAGCTGTGGTTCATAATGGATTGCATACAAAGACTGCCCTAGGAGCCTCTGTTGTCTCCTCCTTAAGTTATGAAAAGACGAATTTCTGTTCCGGTAACAGACCTGGTTTGTTTCACAGGGCAGAGGCCACACTACCCAAGAACACAGAAGGCTCTCAATGGGGGCCCAGACCACCAAGCACCAGATACAAAAAAGCACCTTGGTAGCAGTCATATAACCTGTGATATTTTCACCTCTATGCTTTAAGATTAAAGTACAGATAGATAGGAAATAGCCAAATCTGTGACTGCAAAGAAAAAACATATTCTAATCCGAAATGATTAAGGACGCCTACTGCCCTGGCAAGAAACTTGCTTCAAGTAATTACATGGGAACCACCACCCCAAACTGAAAATCTGGGTTTTAAATAACCCACACGTTGTCAGGAGCTTCAACTTGTCCCCAACCCCCGTCAGAAGCGGACAGAGGTCCTAGACCAAAGGCCGGCATGAACGCAGGCTGAAGGATTTATCCTGGGAATTTCTCGTATTCCAAGACAGTTCTTCTGTATCAGTAAACTGGACACGAGTGTCCACCCTATCGCAGACACAGACCGGAGGAAACACCAATTGTAAGCAGAGAAATGGTTACAGAGAAAACACAACGAAGGACAGAAATAGCATGAGAGGTGGTAGGGGTGGGGGGCGGCCAGCCTAGGGGGGAAGAGAACCACACAATTAATGCATACAGCGTTCGTATCAGCTCAAGCACGTCGGGCCCTTTTCGTCACCTACGGCAGCACCGCACACATCGTCCTGTGTGAACCTGGCAGTGAACCTGTTCGAACTTCCAAGTGTACTTCACCAGTGTTACTTTAAAAAAAAATTTTTTTTACATTTATTTATTTTTGGAGAGACTGAGACAGAGCTTGAGCAGGGGAGGGGCAGAGAGAGAGGGAGACACAGAATCCGAAGCAGGCTCCAGGCTCCGAGCCGTCAGCACAGAGCCCGACGCGGGGCTCGAGCTCACAAGCTGCAAGATCAGGACCTGAGCTGAAGTGACCTGAGCTGAAGTCGGACGCCCAACCAACCGAGCCACCCAGGCGCCCCAGCCAATGTTACTTTAGAAATCTAAGCCTGTTACTAAGGCCCTAAATAAGCACATACCAGTTTTTTTGTTTTTTTTTTTTTTTTTTTCCACAAATGGGAAGCTGGCTCCTGTAAGCTGCAAATCACATGCTTCTGTGCCCTGAGCTGGCAAGCCCACAGCCAGCCACTTCTCACTAGTCACATCACATCGTCATCTGCTCCGGGGCTCATGCCCTTCCCCACCGCGGGTAAACAAGTTTCTCATGTGACCGGTCCAAAGGAGCTACGGCAGTCAATTCAGAAAAGTCCAGCGAAAAGAACAGAACCATGTACAGTAAGTCACACAGCTGGCGGATTTGGAAAAATTCCTTAAAATGCACAAGACTGCAACCTTTCCCCCCTCCAGGGAAAAAAAAAAAAAAGTATCATTTCCTCTCTTTATCTGTAAAGTAAGTTTTTCTTCTTTCAGTTCACTATTTGAAAGGATGGTTGCGACCTCTGAAAAAGGTTAGACACTGGGGAGAAATAAGGGGCTGGCAGGACTTCCACTGAAACGGATCGCCTTGGAGTCCTCAGTGGCCCATCCGCTGTCTCAGGGCCGCCGAGGCCCCTCAAAGCTACACTGCCGGACCCCACTCATCTCTCGCTCAGAATGCTCCCTCGAGACCCTGCTGGGGGGTGGGAGGGGAAGGGGACAGTGATAGAGAAGCTTATGTTACCTTAAGAACACAAGCAGACGTCCTGGACACAAGAAGAGCCGGGAGGTGACGAGCAACCCACCCTGGAGAGCAGCCCGACCGACCGGCTTCACGCCCAGACCTCCCTCCACCCGGCAGTCAGCACCCGGCACGGAGCGAGCCTGTGGCAGAACAGCAGCATCGCTTTCCTTCTGAATGCTTTTCTCCTGATACAGTCCGCATACGAAACAATTCCCCATTTGGAAACGTCCATCTCGGTGGTTGGTGGCCTACCCACACTTGAGCAACCACGGCCACCATCCAATTCCACATGCCATCACGCCACCGAGACACTGTTCCTTTCCAGGCACCTCCCACCCTGTCGCCACTGGCCCCCAGCTACCGCCGTTGTGGCAGTCTTCCTGGTCTGTCCTTTGTGGGCATCTGCGTAGAAATGGAACAAAAAGGACACGTCGCGTCTCACGTCTGGATCTTTCACTTGACACAGTGTTGTCAACATCCATCACGTCATAGCACCCATCAGCGCATCATTTCCACAGCTGGGTGATATTCCATTGCACGGAGGGACCACATCCACCTTATCTGTGCATTGGTTCAAGGACCCCTCACCATTTTACTGAAATGTTTTAATCTTACAGAAAAGCTGAAGGAACAGTAAAACATACGCTTTGTGTCCCCTTCACTTAGATCCTTAGCTCTCTTTTTCTGCACCTGTAAATGACATACTCTCCAGGCTGATGATTTAAAAATAAGTTGCAGCAGGGTGGCAGTTCACCCCACACGAATCCTGAAATAAAGCCATTCTTCTACATGACCACAGACCATTATCGCACTAAGAAACTTAACGTCGGGGCACCTGCGTGGCTGAGTCGGTTAAATGTCCGACTTCGGCTCAGGTCGTGATCTCATGGTTTGCGAGTTCGACCCCCACCTCGGGCTCCACGCTGACAGCTCAGAGCCCTCATCGGATTCTGTGTCTCCCCTCCCTCCCCCACACTCGCACTCTGTCTCTCTCTCAAAAATAAACATTAAAAAAATTAAAAAGAAACAATGTCAATGCGATTGTATCTAATATGTGGTCTATAATCCAATTACCCCAAATGCCCCCCAAAATGGCTTAAAAAACACCGAGGATCCCATCATGACACACACAATGCGTTTGGTTCTCAAGTGTAACGTCGTTGAATCTAGAGTGGTCAGTCCTATTCTTTTCAGCATTGGGTCATATTTGAAGAGAGTAGGCCAGTCATCTGGTTGAAGAGAGCACTTTTTTTTTTTTTAAATGTCCATGTGATTAAGCACGGAGGGTTCCTTCTTTGTCATGCATTCTAAATAACCTTTACAAGACCATTCACTCCTTCTGAATGTTAATTGCTAGTCTATTATCCACTGGAAAGAACTGACTTTTAAGTCAGACAGCCTGGGCCCAAACCCGGCTCCCACTCCCTTGCTATGGTTCTGCGCAGGCCAAACGTTCTCAGCCTGTTTCTAGGAAGACAGGTAACTCCAGTACATAGATCGTCAAGAGGCTCAGATCAGGCAGCGTAACAAGAACAGCGAGGGCCATGGCAGGGGATCACGTGGCTGTGCGGCCCATGCTGGGCCTTCACTGACGGCCCCCAAGCCCCAAAGCCACAAGCCCGGGCCTCGAGACCCAACTCTGCACGCTTTGTGTTTCTGCCGCAGAATGCCCACGACCCTGGCTTGACCACTTGCTACGACGAAAAGAAACTATCCTTTGTCCATCCACCTCCTTACTGGAAAACCGTAGAGGAGGTTCACAGGAGATTCAATGACTTCACGTACGCAAAGCACGTTTCACGGGGCAGAGAAGGAAGCCTTCAGGACGTCAGGCATCCGTCATTCCCAACATCATTAGAAGGTGCCACCTTCCTGTAATGGGTGGCCTGACACAGGTACGCTTACAGCTCAGGTTCAAAGGACAGGCTCTCCCATCCTGGCTCAGTCATGTGCTGGCTGTGTGACTCTGGGCCAACGATTTTTAACCTCCCGAGCCTCAGTTTCCTCGTCTGTGAAACGAGCACGACAACAGGGGTGGTGTCACATAGACTCATACACTCCCTGGCATAAGGGCCTGGGGCAGAGCAAGCCCTCGGTAAAAATCACATGGTTATTCAGCACAAAAACCTACGCGTCGTCTTTCCTGTTGCTCACAGATGACCCGCCAGCAATTCCTGCCCACTCCACCTCGACTTATCCTGAATCCACTCTGCCCACCTGAGTCGACATCCCCGTCTCTAATCCGGCCAGCGTCATCTGTCTCTACCCGGTCCACATGTGGGCACCACTTCCCTCACTAGTCTGCACTCCAGACGTCACAAACTTTTTCTGGGAAGAGGCAGAGCGTAAATATCTTAGGTTTTACGAGACCTCCAGTCTCTGTTACGACTCCACAATCTTGCGACTGCATCGTGAAAGCAGCCACACCACAGCTACTGTGTGACCAGCCAACAGGTAGGGCTGTTCCAATAAAGCTTTTTGTACGGAGACGGAGATGTTAAGTTTCACAGGATTTTCACTTGTCGCAAAACACTCTTTTCTCCCCCCCCCCCACCTTAAAAACTTAAGAACCCTTCTTATTCTTAGCTTGTGGGCCCTCCCCAAAAAGGAAATAGACCAGCTTTGGCTGTCAGGTCACAGCTGCCAGGCACACCTGCTCTAGAGGCCCCCCTTTCAGAAACACACATCCGATCATGTTATTTCCTCACTCAGACCCCACAATGGCTTCCTACTGTGTTCTATTTCTTTTAGTTTTATTTATTTAAATAATCTCTGCTCCCAACATGGGGCTTGAACTCACAACCCCAAGATCAAGAGTCTCACACTCCTCCAACTGAGCCAGCAAAGCACCCCTCAAAGTCTTTTAAAAACTTCCCAGGACCTGGCCCCTTCTTACCACCTCTCTCCTCACTTCTGTTTTGGGTTTTGTTTTTTTTAATGTGTGTGGCATACAACCTTACCTAATTCTGAGTGTGCACATATGTGCTGACTTAATACATCTAAGTGTTGCAGCATGACTGTCACTTTAACAGCTAGGGCAACAAGGGCATCCCCTCTCTTGCTGGCCCCAGGCCCTTTGCACCTGTTGTTGGCTTGTCCCCTAAAGCTCTTCTGACAGCTGCTACCTTTGATAGCCTTCAAGACTCCACTCCCAGAAAGGAAGTGACTTCCACCTACAGCCACCTGGCCATCACTCCCAAGAGGCCCCTTCCCAGAAGGGAAGGCCGCTCCATGTGCGGGCCCCCTGGCCATCCCCTAGGAGTGCTCACCCCTCCCCAGGGCGCATTGCGGCCAGTCCCTCGGGCCCAGGCTGCCCGCAGCCCAGCCCCGGCGCACATCTGGGCGCACCTGGCGCGCCCGCGCGGCGCTCACCTGGTCGGCGCCGAAGGGCGTGACGTTGGCCTTGACGGCGCCCACGCCCAGGCCGACGAGCGCCAGCGCGGTCAGCGCGGCGGGCGCGCAGTAGCGGGCGGGCGCGTCCGGGCAGGGCGGCGCCGAGCAGT